AAGGATTTCAATATCCCATAGCTGGCAGTCATTGGGGTTAATTTAAAAGAAAAACAGTCATTTTGCTTGCATAGGATTGGATGATGGAACTCAGTACAGCTTCACCTTATTCATTTAGCTAAAGGGAGATTCCCTTGCACAGTGAACAGTCTATTGGCCTTCAGTAAATCAATCTCATTGTTTCACATTTCCGGATCACTTCCCGCTTATGAACTTATTACGAACTTCCCACTTATTTTCAGGTCACCTAATTTGGAAAAAAAAAAAAAAAAGTTTTCTTGCAAAGAAAGCCTGTGATGAAAATGGCTGAACTGAGTATGCCTATCTGAGTCTGAATTTTGGGTCGAATTCCAAGTTTAATTTCACTTTGAATAGCTAGTACGGGCCAAGCTGGCCCACACAAACTTCTACCATAACGATGTGGCTGCTGTGTGTCCTGTAGTATGATGATTATATTTGCAGTGGGGGAGGGGCTGGTAAAAACAGGTGGATGAGCCACATTTTTACCACCCCTTCCCCCCTACTGCTCTACCTTAAGCTGCAAAGGCAGAGGACAGGGGTGTACACATGCCACAGCTGCGTTGCTTTGCTAGGGAAAAAATTAACCCCATCTGGCATGTTTGGCAGACAGTATTGCCAAACCCAACCCAAGCAGGTAAATAGCGCTGCACCACAACCACGTGCAATGCCATGGTTGTGGTTCCGTGGTGTGTGTTTCTAGGACTCGTTCACACGACCTTTGGTCTCCAAAGAGCAATCCAGGTTCAGAGCATTTGACAGGCGAAGAGAAACCATTGTATTGCCTCCTCACTGCCTGCTTTAACCTCTTGATTGCCACACTAGCGTACTGCAACTTGTGCATGTGCATTGCAGACCTGCCCCATTCACTTGAATGGGTGGCATTATGCATGCCAACAGTGACAGGGGGTATACTGTAATTCCTGCCGAAGGCCATGGCATGTGTACACCGTGGCTACTGCCTCTGCAGCTAAAGGGAGTAGCAGTTGGGGAAAGTTAAAGCATGGCTTAACTGTAGGGTTTTACCCCCTCCCCCCACAAACACACACACAGGTACACACACACCTACACACACCTCAAAGAGCCCCTAGGTGTTAAAACAGGCAGAAAGGCAACATAACACCTCCTCGCTGCCTGTAATACACCCTCTGAAGGGCATCTACCGTGCTCCCTAAGTGGCACTGTGTTCCATTAGCAGTAAAGGCAACTTCCTATCTGCTGCTGGAATTAAAGAGAGTCGGGCCAAGTGCTACTCCACCATTCAGGAGAAGTATTGTATTTTTATCAATGAATACAAGGCTTCCTGTGCCAGGAGAAGGAAGTCAAGATGGAAGTCGTATCATCATCCACCCACCTTTCCACTTTGGTCAATCAGAGGAAGCCTTGTATTTTAAACAATGACTACAAGTCTTTCTCTGATTGGCTGAAGTGGAAAAGTGGGCAGATGATGTCTCGTTTTCCACCTTGACCTTCTCCTGAATGGTGGAGAAGCCCTCAGCCCAATTCTCTTTACCTTCAGCAGTAGACAGGAAGTAGTGGTGTGTGTTTCTAGGATTCGTTCACACGACCTTTGATCTCTAAAGAGCAATCCAGGTTCAGAGCATTTGACATACAATGAGAAAGCACTGTATTGTATTTGAATACATTTGAAGACATTTGAATACAAGGCTTCTTGTGCCAGGAGAAGGAGGTCAAGGTGGAAATCGTATCGTCATCCACCCACCTTTCCACTTTGGTCAATCAGAGGAGGCCTTGTATTTTAAACAGTGAAGACTAGGCTTTCTCTGATTGGCTGAAGTGGAAAAGTGGGCAGATGATGTCTCGTTTTCCACCTTGACCTTCTTCTGAATGGTGGAAAAGCCCTCAGCCCAGTTCTCTTTACCTTCAGCAGTAGACAGGAAGTGGTGGCCAAGTGCTCCTCCACCATTAACGAGAAGCATTGTATTTTTATCAATGAATACAAGGCTTCCTGTGCCAGGAGAAGGAGGTCAAGGTGGAAATCGTATTGTCATCCACCCACCTTTCCACTTTGGTCAATCAGAGGAAGCCTTGTATTTAAAACAATGAATACAAGGCTTTTTCTGATTGGCTGAAGTGGAAAAGTGGGCAGATGACATCTCGTTTTCCACCTTGACCTCCTGAATGGTGGAGAATCCCAATTCTCTTTACCTTCAGCAGTAGACAGGAAGTTGCCCGTATTGCTGCCGGAACACAGCGTCACTTTCAGTATGTAGCTAATGCTGCCGGAGTACAGCACCACTTTCAGCATGTAGTTAATGCTGCCAGAACAAAACGGCTGCATCGTTTTGTAATGGAAATATTTCATTTGGGCCAGCTTGGCCTGATTGAACAATTTAAAGTGAAATTGAACCTGGAATTCTTCTTTAATCATTACCCCGAAAAGTAACAACTCTTGATTGTGAAGTGAAAAGTTTATCCTTCAGTACAGATTATCTGTTCATAAATTTAGATGACTGAACAAAAAACACATTATCAAAACTCAGCTTGTAGAATAGTTTCATATTTTTTTTTTATACAGACAAAGTTTTTGCCTATTGAAATTTTGAAATTTCGATACAGACTTGTTTATGCTATACAGGGTGTTGTCTTTCATATATAATTTTTTTTATAACAGGCAGGTAAAATTTTAACATTATGTAGCAGTTTGAACAAAATCAGCCATTCAATACAGTATATGCTTCAGGGAGGCTTCCCAATATGAGTTTTTAAGCCCTTCCCTGAATAATGTACAAGCAGTTCTCTTTATTAAAAAAAAAAGGAAAAAAATAAAGACAGCATGGACATATTGCACTGCTCCCAACCCCACCTACCTCCCCAACCCAATAAAATAATAAGCAAAGCACGCTTACATTTGGCAGATTTATACAGCAGTAGTGGCTTTTTTCATACCTTTTTTTTTTTTTTTTTTTATATATTTTTGGCTTTTAAATATATAATTCTTTGTATCATTTGTTCTATCAATATATCTACAATATTGAATGAAAATAAGCCTGCAAATGAACAGTAATTACACATTTTATAAGTTCAAATTAAACACCACTTTCTTTTTTGTTTTGTTTTTTAATATCTTTTTTTTTTTTGTTACACTCATATGCTGAAAGAAACAAAATTGTATCTTTTTACTTTGTTTTTTATTTTTCTCTTTTTTTTTTCAATTTTTTTTATTACTGGTATATTTTTAGCAGATTATTTGCTGCAATCTTTCAACATAAAGGAATGGCTTTAACCATCTAGAGCTGGTAGTTCTGAGTGTCACCATAGGCATTACACAGATGTTCAAATAAAAAAAAAAAAAAAAGAAAAATCTGAAAAAGGACCCTGTCATGATGTTTTTTTAATCCACAACAATTTTTATTTAATTTACTCTAGATAAGTTTGCTCTTACAAGGCTACAGAAACAGAATTTTTATTCACCTTGCATTGGTTTGCAACTGTGAATGGAATTCCTAGTTTTTGTGCAATGCCCACAGAGCAAGAGAAAAAAAGAAAGTTGGCATTTAAGATTCATTACGCAGGATTTTGCATGGCTTATTTAATGAAAAGGTGATATATAAGTAAATTTATAGGCATCATCCCTTCAAATTAATAAAAAAAATAATAAAAGGGATAGGAGGCTTCCACTTTGCTTGTAAATAGAACAAGTCCACTTTAATCTCAAACCACTTAACAGTCCACCATTCATCTGAAATTCTGTTGAGCGTTGGGCAGGAAGGTTTTCAAGGCAGGACAGTCTTCCATGGGTGTAGTAATCCATAATCAACAGGCTCCAGCATTGCTTGCATACATACTGCATCTTCAGTAGGTTTGATTTAGTTATTTTTAATCGAAAAATTCCAAATAATACTTAAAAAAAAAAAAATTGGCAAGTAAAGCACAGAAGTGGCAGTTATTGTGATTCCCTCATTTCTTACCAAATCAAAGATAGGCTACGCATGCAGAAATGTAGGATCGTTTAGGAACGGGACAAGTTATTTAAGACAAATGGTGTGGTTCTAATATGAAAATAAATTAAATTATAAAAATCATGCACTGTATGGCATAGTATAAGTTTATGATTTTACATTAATTTTTTTCCTACATTTTTACTAAAGGTTTCTATTTCATGCTGTTTTATGAAGCATATGAGCAGTAAATTAAAGTGAAGGTAAATTGCTTTTAGAAGGCGGTGTATTGTCACTTCAATGTAAATGTAGTTATTGTTTTATTGATGACATACATAATTGTTTTTCTTTTTGATTGGGAATTAGTCTTTTTTTTTTTATTCACACCTTCTAAGTTTACTGCAACAACTTTTAAAACAGTGTTGCCTAGGTAATATTACTATTGCATTTTTGAATAAAAGCTTAAAAGCCCTTCTGGAACATAATAAAAGACTATCCTCTCAATGGATTGCCATTGACAACTTGTTTTCTAAAATGCTTTTCTTTTTACAATTTGGTATCACCTATGTAAGTTAAGTGAATTCCCTCCAAAAACATGCAACGGTGTTAATGATGTATCCTTGGCATTTCTCTTGTTCTAGATTAGGCCAACCAATTACCATCTGTAGTGCTTATTCATTTAGTAAAAGTAAAAGGCAATTTCCAAAAAAAATTTGCTAAGATCACTGCCACAATGAATGTTTTTTTTTTTCTTTCTTTTATTAAAAGCTTTGCTGGATTTGAGATCGTGAACTGTTAATGTTGCCTCGGGTTGCAAAACACAAACCAGCTAGGAAAGATGCTTAATAGCCTCCGATAAATACTTTTTTTGAAAATAAATAAATGATTATTCATACATTTTGGTCTTGGATAACCTTTTCGTGTGTGTGTGTGTGTGTGTGTATGTTTTTTTTGTTTTTTTTTTTAGTACATCTAAGCTGTTTCAGCTGCAGATATAGGCTCTGCTGACACATCAGCAAAAGCAAAGAGTTCTATTGTCTTGCTGTTATTGTGGTTACTGAAGGTGAGTATGTTATTCTGTTAGAGAGAAGTCTCCACACTGTGCAAAGGACTTTCTGGATTGGAAGAGGCAGCCGACTTGCTTGTGTCTGTGGTCAAGTAGATACCGCTATCAATAGCGTTGTTGTTCTTGTTGGGAGATGGAGGTGGAATGGACCACAGCACTTTACCCGGAGGCTCCTCACTATCTTCCACATCTGTGTCATCGATAAGGGGTATATTATGGATGTAATCGTTGATCAAAAACTCAGGGGTTGCCATGAAATTGTGAATGGAGGTCTTGGAGTCAGGTTTCTCTAGGCCTTCGTAGAGGGAACTACGGAATGCTTTCACCACCCGGATCTAAAGAGTTTGGGTTACAAAGGTCCGAAGGGAAAAAAAACCCCAATGATAGGATATGGGGTGAAAAGATGAGGAGAAGCAAAATGGAGAAAGGAATTTGAAGAGAAATAGAAAAAGAAGCATTAGATTAGTACAAGAAAAGGAATGCTCTTTTGTCATTTCTTATTTCAGTCCACATTAATGGCAGCACGCGCTGAGTTATTCATCAGAAAATATTTAATAAATGTGAATATTTGCATTATAAAAAGCTACTTGTAGTGTAGCGCTGGACTAGGCTGTGTATGATTAATGTATATTCAGTAAACACAAAAAAAGTGAAAAGTTTTTTTTTTTATGAACTTTACAGGTACCAAAGGAGATGATATTAAAATTACAGTTTATTTATATCAGAATAAAAAAATTGTGGACCCAAAGTAATGTATTAAATACATGCGTTGTATCAATATGTGATGTTTTTAGGACATTGGGTCCACTAATTTTTATTCTGATATCAATAAACTGTTTGTAATTTCAATACAAGGGCTATACCGAAAGTAATTCAGAAGTGGGCATAACTTTTTGTATTAACTTACATATGGTAGGCCATTCAGATTTCACATGTTGGTAGAAAAACTCTTCTATAACTCTTCTTCATGGAAGAAGAAGATACCAAGCAGAAGCAACAAGCCATCATGACATTCATGAAGTTCATGACGAAGAGGGGATGCAGGCTTTCTGACACCCACGGGAGGCTTCCTGTTTATGGAGATGATACCATTGACAAGAGCAATGACTTGTCACTGGTGACTCTTGTCAATGGTGTCATCTCCATTAAATATACTGTAGCCTTCTGTGGATTTTGGACAGTCTGCACCCCACCTTCATCAAGAACTTAATGATGATATGTTGCTTTTGCCTGGAATTGAATATTTACTTGCAATGAAATAGAAGAGTTACTATAGAGGAAGAGTTACTCTACCAACATGTGACATTTGAACAATCTATGTAAGTTTATCAAAAAGTTATTGCCAGATTAATGCTGTCATTGAGTTCTTGATGAAGGGGAGGTGCAGGCTGACCAACATCCAAAGAAGGCTACAGAATGTTTTCAGAGATGGCACCACTGACAATAATCTCCAATGACAAGACATTGCTCTTGTCAATGGTGTCATCACCATTACCATTCTGTAGCCGTCTGTGGATGTTGGACAGCCTGCACCCTTCCTTCATCAAGACCTCAATGACGGTACATTGCTTCTTTTTGGAATTCATTATTTACGTGCAATGAAGAAGATGATCAAGAGTTACTATAGAGCAGGGGTGTCAAACTGGCGGCCCTCCAGCTGTTGCGAAACTACAAGTCCCATCATGCCTCTGCCTTTGGGAGTCATGCTTCTTACTGTCAATCTTGCATTGTCTCATGGGACTTGTAGTTTGGTAACAGCTGGAGGGCCACCAGTTTGACACCAAGAGTTATTCTACCAACATGTGAAATTTGAACCTATGCTATACCCACTTTTGCATTACCTTCAGTACAACCCTAATATTGTTATCTCCTGTACCTGTAAAGTCCGTTTAAAGAATTCTTTTTTGTTTACCGACAATTCTTACCGATGTGGTACAAAGTCAGCCCTTTCTAATATATATAATATTAATGTATATTACCAAATACTCTTAACTTCCTTTTATAATGTATGTTATTGCAACAAATTAACCCTCTATATCAGTGCATTATTGTGGTCTGAAACATTTCAACCATGTTCACTTTTGGCATCATTCTTGAATAAAGTGATAAAATGTGTTTTGCCATATATATGTATGCATATATTCAAATATAACATACATATATAGAATTGTAATAATGTTAAAAAAATGGATGACATTCTATGGGAGACAAGACAGCTAGATAGACGTCTAACAAGGAGAATAAATGCTTTGCTAATAAACTGCTTAATAAAACATACATTCACTAGGTGACAGCTAACAAATGCACAAGCAGTGGAAATGCAATGTAGACAAAAAAGGGAAGCCGGAAGAGTGCACAAAGGAAATGAAAAATGTTTGCTGTTTTTGAAACGGAATATTTAGTTTTATTGCTTACTTACTTTTTGCTTCTTATATTGGTACATATTTTATTCTGTATATTAATTCTAAGGAAAAGCAATTTATTAAACAATATTTAGAGTGTTAATTAATTATTTTTTTTATTTTAAGTTCACATGTTTGTAGCTAAAAAAAAAAGTTAATTTTTTAATCTTTCAGGCACTGAATTAGTAATATTACTGCAGTGTGTAGTTTAAACATTTGGAATATGAAAACCTTTATTTTATATTTTAAATTTGAAACCTTTTTCGATAGGTACGACCTAACAGGTGGTCAGGGTGTATGGTGACTTTGTGTTTTTTTTTCACAGTATAAAATAATTTTAATATTGATTAGAAGGACTAAAGCAGACCTATACTCAAATATTGATCTCAAACGTTGGTAACAGTCCTCGTGGGATGAATAAATTAAAAACAAAGGAAGAATGGAGATACCTTTCCTGGGGAAAATGCTACTCAAGGATTCCTTCAGTGCTGCAAATATGTGGTCTGTGACTACGCCTTTAGATATGGCAAGCGCCTAAAAAAACACCTCAGAGCAGTATTTTACCCATCATTTCAGCTTTTCTCTCTAACTTCACTTTCTATATGTCATAGAAAAGTTGTGAAAATGTAACTAAAGGCAAAACTTTTTTATTTTTTTTAATCTTGGATAGGGTATGGGAGGGTTATACCCAAGGAAATTCTTATTTTTTTCTACCTGTGTCCCATAGGGGAGATTGCCCTTCACTTTCCTGTTCCATAGCCAAAACCAAAAGTGAACCAAACTGAGGGAATATTGGGGTGTCATCAGAACTAGCATCCCCAAAGGAAAATTTCTCCTCTACTACTTTTCTAGTGCCAACCCAAAAATTTGGGAATTTCCTTTACTTTCATTGATAAATAGAACAAATAGAGAGGATGAATCTCCCTAACGGGGGGAACAAACAGCAATAAGAACCTGACAGAGGTTCTAATCCCCTCTCCACTCTATCCAAAACTAAAAAAAACCCTTTGCTTTTAGTTACACTGTAATACAGGTATATGTGAAAAAATATGCAGGCCAGTGTTAATAAATGGAATTTATTTTGATTAAAGGGTTGCAAGACAAAAGCACCAAACTGGGCAAAATTGTGTTTTTTTTGTTGTTTTTTTTAACAGATATACTGTACATTTGAAACGTTATCAGCTTACTGGAAATATATCTTAGCAATGTTTGCTAATATTGAAAAAATTCAATGTTATAGAATTTAAATTCCAAATATACTGACACGGGCCAGCCATTACATATGCAAACTGTGTTTTCTGCTTGCTATGCTTGTAGCACCTCTGTGACCATGGCCAGCACTCATTGGCCAAGTTTTATCTGGAGAAAGCTAATTGGCTGCCCATACCTATGGCATTACCATGTTACTCCTCCATATGCACATGGAGTTCATGTTCATAGAAAGATCTTTTGTTAGAAAGATCATTCAAGGGCCGGGTCATGTGGGCAACTTTATTCTTCCTCTTTCATTGCAAGTCTTTTAACCAGCCCTGATTGAATACAAGGAAGTTGATTTACTAAAGGAAAATAGTTCACGGACCAAGGGAATTTTCACTTTGTAAAGTAAGTTTCCTTTAGCCTAATGAATGTGGTGAAAATTTACTTTGCAAAGGACACCCTACAGGGAAAATAAAATAATTATTTTTGCTTATGATTGGATGATGGAAGTAAGCAACACCTATAGGAATTTTCCCTTGCAAACGGAACAGCCTATTTGTTTTTAGTAAATTATTACTGATGATTGATTGTAGTGACATACAGACAGCCACTAGGAAACAAATCTATATTTGTGATACAAAAATTAGAGTACAGTGCACTAAGCAGGGCCGGGGCAATGGGTGGGGCAGGAGGGGCAGCTGCCATGGTTGAGGTGGGGATTTGAGGGGTTGTGCCATAAGGGGTGAGTTGGAGGAGGGATTTGTACTAGGAGGGTAGATTTCTGTTAGGAAGGGAAATTTTGGGGGAAGGATTTGTGTTAGTAGGTATGATTGGGGGGGGATTTGTACTAGGAGTTGAAATTTGGGGGAAGGATTAGTGCTAAGAGATGGGAAACTGCTCTCCTAAAACTCACAATTGACTTGCTAACTGCTAAAACCAATGGTCACTATTCCGTACTCTTACTCTTGGACCTCTTTGCCTTTGACACAGTTGACCACCCTTTCCTCCTCAAAACACTCTATTTACTTAGTCTCCATGACTGTACTCTCCGCCCGGGTTCGATTCTTACATATCTCACCGCACCTTCAGTGTCACTTACAACTCCACTTCCTCCTCTCCTACTCCTCTCACCATCGGGGTCCCCCAAGGTTCTGTTCTTGGACCTCTCCTATTCTCAGTCTACACTTCTTCCTTGGGTCAGCTGATAGCTTCCCATGGTTTCCAATACCATTTCTATGCTGATGACACACAAATCTATCTCTCTACCCCTCAGCTCACCCCATCAGTTTCCACACACATCACTGATTTACTAACAGACATATCAGACTGGATGTCACACCACTTCCTAAAACTCAATCTATCCAAAACTTAGCTCATAATATTTCCTCCTCATGTGCCTCTTCCCCTGATTTCTCTGTCAGGATCAATAGCACCACTATCAACCCATCAACCCATCCCCACATTCCATGGTGCTAGGGGTAACCCTGGATTCTGAAATGTGTTTTCAGGCCCACATCCAACCCCTGTCCAAATCATGCCGCCTCAACCTCCGCAACATCTCCAGAATATGCCCCTTTTTAACCAATGATACCACAAAGCTCCTAATTCACTCCCTGGTAATCTCTCGACTTGACTACTGCAACTCCCTCCTCGTTGGCTTACTTTTACGTAGGATATCCCCCCTCCAGTCCTCATGAATGCTGCTGCCAGGCTCATCCAACTTACCAACCATTCAG